TTTTTTAGCTTCACTGAGAGGGCTGGTTAAAGTGCTTTTCATTATGATTAATGATCTTGTTATTCTCTGAAAATAATGTATAAAAATAATCATTCATTGATCTTGTCACAGTAACATTAATTTAAAACTGTGAATATAAAGCTCAATATTTACTTGAAATGACAACTGCATATTGACATTGTGCCTTGTATGTTACAGAAGTTAGATATTATGTTACAGAAGTTAGATATTAAATTTATTTTCCTAAGTATATAAATATTTTATTTTCACTTTTCAGTTACCCCCATGATGCATAAAATGAACAGTGTGCACGCCAAAAAAAAAGTTCGCCAGTATTCAGATGAGTACTTGCTGTTTGGGTTCATACCAGCGACTCATGATGAAAGGTTGCCTTTTTGTCTGTTGTGCCACCAATGTTTGACTAATGAATCCATGAAGAGAGGTCGTCTCGAAAATCTTTTGAAGGCAAAACACAGTATTCATGTTAATTCAAAACTGGAGTATTTTAGATCCCTAAAGGAGAAGTTTGAAAAAAGATCAACAATAAATTCATTGTTCTCTGCAAGAAGTGCAAGCAAGGATCGTGGTCTTGAGGCTAGTTATGAAATTTCTCTTCTCATAGCAAAATGTGGCAAAAATCATACAATAGGGGAGAATTTAATTAAGCCTGCAATATCAACTTTTCTGAAAGTAGTTCTTGAAAAAGATGACCAAGATCTCAAAAGCATGCCGCTCAGTAATAATACTGTTAGTAGCAGGATTGATGAAATGAGTTGTGATGTAGAAGTACAACTTGTTGAAAAATTAAAATATACAAATTTTTCAATACAGTTGGACGAATCAACTGTAAGAGATAGTGAAGCTCTGTTAATGGCCTATGTAAGATATGTTGATAATTGAGAATTTATTGAGGATATGCTATTTTGCGAAGCATTAGAAACCACCACTATTGCAATTGATATATATAAGCATGAGTTAGATTTAGAATATAGTTATACGTCTACCCAGATCCCAACAGGTAACAACAATAAAAAAACAAAGACAATCGGACTATAAAAGGGTAGACAAAGGATGCGAGTTTTCGTTGTATATAATAGAGTACCATAAATCCCTTAACAAAATATTCAGCTTATAAATTACCCTTAACCAAACTTAACCTAAACATTAACAGTATATACATATTAATAAACATAAAACAATCTCGAAGCAAGTGGACGTGGGGAAATTAATACAAGATAATAGTACTTAAGTGAGGAGCTGAGATGGCTGACGAGTAAGGCTGAGTATTGTAGAAGACGGTAGGTAGTCACTGCACGTAGGTTTAGAGGATAGATGATCCTGTGGTCACTTCCCAGAGCCAAGTCCTCTCTCCTCGAATTGGAGCTGACAAAGAAGACTGAGGAGGTGACGCAACAACCAGGATAGGGAGAAGGGAAACCTCGGAGTGGTAACTAAGACGAGTCATACTCGTGTCTCGTCCCTAGATGGCGTTGCTCGTGGTGCTGGGTAGCTAGATCAAGACAATAGATGGCGTGGTTCGTAGTGCGGGGTGGAGGCCTGCACAATAAGAAATTAAAAACATATTTAGATGATAAGCAGATACCAATGGAGAACATTATATCTTGTGCTGCAGACGGTGCTCCAGTGATGATGGGCAAGAAAAATGGAGTTTTAAAATTATTGAAAGACGACAATCCCCAAATGTTGTTAGTGCATTGTGTTATTCATAGACAGAATTTAGTTTCCAAAAAAGTTTCCCCTGTTCTAAACGAGACATTGAATGCAGTTATATAATGCATCAACACTATAAAAGCTAATGCCAAATGTGAGCGTCTTTTCAAACAATTTTGCAAGGATCAAAATGCAGACTATGTAAGATTATTACTTCATACTGATGTAAGGTGGTTATCAAATGGGAATTGCCTGAAAAGATTCATGGAATTATTTGATATTCTTAGTGAGTTCTTGGATGACAAACCTTATATGACTCTGTTACTGACAGTTGATGGTAAAGCACTTGTCAGTTATTTAGCAGATATATTTGAAAAACTCAATGTCTTAAATAAGGAGCTCCAAGGAACAAATATGACTCTTGTTAATTCAAAGGCCAAGATATTTGGCTTTATATCATTTCTGGAATTATCCCAAGAAAATATTTCTGTCAAAAAATTTGAACAATTTTATTGGCTGAATAAATGTGAGGTAACAGATGCTACTTGTCTTGTTATTGTGGAGCACTTAAAAATAATGGTAAGCGATTTCAACTTCAGATTTTCTGATTTGAAAGAAATTAATTATCCATCTTGGATGACTCAGCCATTGCTAGTGGATCTGTCAGATGTAACCATGGAGTATCAAGGAGAACTTTCAGAATTACAAAATGATGACTCGATTAAAGCCCTGTTCAAAATAAAAGGAACAATGATGTGGCTCTGTGAAGAAACACAAGCTAAATATCCAAATACAAGTAGTTTGGCAAGAAAACTACTGTTACCATTCCCATCGTCATACTTAGTGGAATGTGGATTTAGTGCTGTGAATGACTTATTACTGAAGAAAAGAAACCGACTGGATATCACTAAACGAGGCGACTTGAGATTGAAATTAACAAAATTTCTGCCTCGGATAAAATCTCTTTGCAGTAGACATCAGGCTCAAGGGTCTCATTAA